TCTTGTCAGCGCAACAATCCCTGTGGTTGGAGGTGTTTTCAGGAGGACCAGTGTGTTTGTGTGTTGAATTTACCGAAGCACCGACGGAGAAACACTCGACGACCGCAGAGCTGCATTCATCGACGATAGATACGATTGAACGAATGAATAATGGATTCATATTTTAGTTCATAAGAAGAGAGCAGATGGAGTGAGCGAGATATGGAGGGAGATGGAGATGATAATGATGGAAGAAGGGACAGAGAGAGAGAGGGAGAGAGGAAGGGAGGGAGAGAGGGAGGGAGGAATGGAATGGAAGAGAGAGCGAAAGCATCTATGAAGATAAATGCCGTCAGAGCCAGATGAGTTATGGACTAATGCATGGATGACACACGGCTCTGGCAGCAGCAGCAGCGGCAGCAGCTCCACGTCAACCTGCTCTCCACAGAATCAAATGAAGACTTTATTTTGGAAGAAGGTTTTGTTTTTGTTTTTCTCGCTTGTTATATTTTACAATTCCCAACAAATCCAAACTAAACTAACGTCAAACAGCTCGACGCAAGGCTGCCAGAAAACGTACGATCCACTGAGTGAAAAATACACAGTGATGTACACACCGCTCTCTGCTGCCGACAGGACAAACACCATGGAAATCCACATTTAAAACGGGCTAAAAATCGGTCCATTTGCATTAGTAAAACTTAAGGCTTCAAAATAATTCAATTTTTCACTTTGTGAAATTTACAGTATAAATACACAGTGCAATGATTCATGTATTTATAATAACAATAATTTTTTTGATTAAGTCCCTCATTCGTCCCACAATGCACAATGGGGGAACTCGCAGTGTGAGTCTTTGCAACCCACAGGGGGCGCCATTAGGGATATATGGTCCCTGTGGCGCTCAAACCCACGACCCTCTGCATGTAAGGCAGATGTGTGAGGCAGACTGTGGAACCACACTCTTTGCATGTTATATTTCTGATTATTGTATATTTAAAATAACCCTGACCTTTGACACTAACGGAGACCTTTGACCCCAATCTTTCTGCCAACTTCTGTTCAGTATAGAGTGATGTAGAGCTGACTATGTAACACTGACCACGTGATGGCGACCTTTGACCCAACACATCTAACGAGTGATCACATCAACATGACTGTGGTCATCGAAAATAACGGAAGAAAATTTACAGCTCAGCGTTTCTCCGTTGTTTTTTTTTTCTTTCTCTGGTTGGTAAAAAGTCAAAACCTGACTTCACAAAGTGGAAATTCTGACTCACCCATTCTGGGAGGTTCCTCACCCTACACGCTGCAGTCTGAACATTAGGCCATGTCTCAGAGTGCCATAAAAGTGGTGGAGCAGCGAGGTTCTTTGCTTTCCTCTAATAGAAATCTTTCCCTCAGATTCCCCTCCTAATGTGGCGTCGACTGAAGAGGGATTACTGTGGAGGAGTTCCCCCGCATCGGTCAGACACGCTTTACATCCGACCAGAAATAGAGCTTTTAGGTTCAACGGGACAATTACTCTTGAATAAAACGACGGCGGCCTATTCATTATCTGTAACGTTTTATGCTCTCGAGCATCACAGTAAAAACAGAGAGCGGCCTAATGGCTGCAGTAAAGCAGCCATTGTTTGTAACCAATAACAATTATTTCACCCTAATAAACAAAGCGGCGTTTATGCCTGAATACATGATGGAGGGGGGGGTTAAGGGAGGAGGTGGGGGGGGCAGTAATCACCAGGAATGGACTTATTGACTCTGGAGAGTAACAAGTTACATAAAAAAAGAATTAAACAAAAATGAATAAATATAAAAAACAAAGCACTGCATCTCTCAGACGTCGTCCTAATGGTGATATTTATAAGGAGGAAAAGAGAGTTTACACATCGATCTGAGAGTTAAATCAAACCATCCGGCTGAATTAATTCCACGATTAGACTATTTTGCAATTTTTTTCTTCACTTGCAGGAGTTTTGCATCATCTCTCAGCCGTCAGGTGTTTTTTTTTTTTTTTTAGCTTTTTTTTCTTTTTCAAAGCCTGTTTCTGAACGTGCATAAAACATTGCAATAAAAACGTAATAAAACACAGTTACAGATCATTATTATTATTGTCATATTTATAAATAATAATAATAAAAAAACTGGAAAAATCACATATATCAATTATATTATTATTTCCAATTATATATATATATATTATATTATTATGCTACACAGCTGTGACCTGTGACCCCTGCATCAGTGACAGAGTAAAAGTCCAACTGCAGTATGAGTCACATTTGGATTTTTGTATTCAATTTTTTTGAAAGTCTTTGTTTCCATGAAATACAATTCTTTCCCTTTAATGTGAGCGCGACTCCAGGATCACAGTCGTATACGCTGTGAAAACATCAGAGGAGAGAAAAAGTCGACTCCTTTTCAACGCGGTCCAGGCAGTAATGGCCGCCTTTCCCGACAACTAGTTATCCCTTCACACCTTCACTTTCCCCACTACATGAATGACGGTTTGGTCTGACTGATGTAGCAGCCAAGATTTCTGCCTCTCCAAAGTCATCCTGCTACCAATCCTGCTCTGAAGCCGTGCGAGCAGAGCGGGCGGAAAACCTGAGATGTAGCAATGTGCTCCTGGCTCACATTAAATTAATGTAGCTGCACTCGCCCGCTCTGATCCACACAATCTTTTTCTCCTCCTGCCAGCACTGAATTTCATCCAAGAAGCCAAACTTAATTTCACCTGGAGGCAATCGCAGCAGCAGAGGGTCAATAATTCTGTGTGTGAGTGTGCGTGTGTGTGTGCGCTTGTTCACATGAGTGTATAAGAAAGAAGAAGAAGAAAAAAAAATACTCACGACTTCTGTGGTGCAGCTGGTGGTTTAGCAGCAGGCTTGTTAGCCGAAACACTACATCGCTCTGCAACACAACAGGAGACATCTGAGTGTCACTAGATGCTGACTTCAACTCTGTCACTGTGAGTGTGTGTGTGTGTGTGTGTTCACCTTGATGGCTGTTTGACAAGCAGCGAGACTTAATTGACTGGACAGAATGACACATTGGTGTGTGTTTGTGAGTGTCACGTTTGGACGAACCACGTGGCTCAAACATAACGGTCGAAAAACGACCGATGCAGCTGATACATCGAGTTATTGGGTCAGTGCTGGGCTCAGTGGTTAAGGAAGCGGACCTGCGTTTGAACGGTTTAAGGTTCGATTCCACAAGCAGCCAGGTCACCACTGAGGATGCCCTCAGCAGGGCACCGTCCCAACACACTGTTCCCCGGGCGCTTGAGCCCTCTCCCCAAAATCCCCCCCGCTCAAAAGCAGAGGTCGGTTCGTTGTTGTTATTATTATTATCCTTAAATAATAAAATGGACAAATAAACATTTAAATGTGTGTGTGTGTGAGGGTGTGTGTGTGTGTTTGTGCTGATTTGTTGATAAAACCCCACGAGCCAATCAAACCGCTGGAGATACATGTGTGGAATCCCTTCTGTCTAATGAACACACACGCAGAGTGTTCGCCCCCTTGTGGCTGTGGATGTATTTAAACGTCAGCTGTTCTGCCCACCACCTCCGTCTGGGTGGCGCGGCGTTTATGCTCTCCTCAGGGTTAATTATCGTACGAGGACGACGCGTGGTGTGGTGTGGTGTGGTGCGAGCGCCGACGCCGGGGAAACTTACTCTGGCTGCTGTAGCCCGAGGTCACATGCTGTGATTCCTGGTGAGAGAGGAAGGGGGGGGAGAGAGAGAGAGAGAGCCAGAGGGAGACGAGCTGAATGAATAAACCAACAGATGTCACTAATGATTTCACAGAAGTACAACGATGCCATTACACAGAAATTCACCGCGGCCCACAATCCACCTCCAAAACTCACAGGAAGGATTGAGTTGTGATGCTGCATGAACTGCTGCCTCACATTTACTGTCAATGTGTGTGAGTGTGTGTGTTTCCATCATCAATTAGCCGTTTTTGTATTAGCGCGAATCATAAAAGCACACGGCAGGAACTAGCGCCGTCTCCCGTCTCTAAATGTTAAAGATAACATTAATGTTTGTTTTAATGTGACTTACTCTACGACTGGTGTTTACGTTACGACGTGTCGTAAACACTTCCTTCTCTGGGAGAAGTAAAAACTTTTCTCCCTCGTCAATCTTCTGAAGTGGCACTTTGCTCCGTGTTTTTATGTTGTTTCACTTCTGCTTGATGACTGCTGTCATTTCTGCACTTCACTTCCCAAACACTTCCTGTCAAAGACACCGTGGGTGGTGCTTTTTTGAATTTTTTTTTTTATTTTTATTTTTTTATGAAACTCGGGCTGATGAAGTGTCCAGGCATGACACTCGCTTCTTATTTATAGTCACAGGCTGTCACTCTGAAAGATGTGCTGGGTTTACTTCCTGTGCATTTCTCTACCTTCATATACTGAAAAATACCAACATATATATATACATATACATATACATATATATATATATATATACATACATGTATATATATATATACTAGACTCATCTTTTCACTGTTGAATTGATTAACGGATGTCTGATCGATATTATCTGCCCGATATTAGCATATAATGTTATCATATTTTCTTCCGATAATGAAAACCAGATAATGCAAAAAATAATCTACAACATGTTGTACGTATCGCCGGAGCAGCCGATAAATGTAAAGGTTTTACAGCAGGTTGTTTCTGAACAATCTGACATTTCTGTTCTACTCCCAGTGCAGCGACAGTGTCAGTTAGGGAAGCAAACGTTACCAGGGTTGAGTTTGTAAATACATTTCTATAAATGTGTTTCTGTTCCAGACAGGAGTGAACGTCAACACTCTGACGGATTAAAGGTGAACAGAAATGTGAACCAACCTTGTTGGGGATGGGAAACTTGGTTTGATCAGCTTTACCGGGAGTGTGTATGGCTGTGAGAGGAGGAGGCCAGGAATGAGTCATCTCCTGTACACACACAAACACAAACACAAACACACACATTATTACATCATCCCACATTATTGATGATCATTTCCTTTGGCTCAAACCAATAATATAATTCCAAGTAAATGAAAGTTTCTCTCTCATCTGGAACAACGACGACTGAAGGGAAGCCCGACCGCTGCCATTGGACCAGATCAGACGGCGAGGAGTCGAGTCAGCGTTCAATCACGCCGCTGTATCCCCGACGGAGTGGAGTTTAATATACAGTATCTTATAAACCAGAACAAACGGAGAGGTGCTGGGGGAGGACTGTGACTCACTGGGAGTTAAAAATGCAAAGTTATTGTTTTACCAAAATAAAAGTTGACTCCAGTCTGCTGCAACACAAGGAAAAAAAAAACCAAAGCAAATCTGCTTCTGTGTTGTTATAACTAGGAATAGATCAAAAAGATATTTACCACATTTATAATGTCAGTAAAATTAAAGTGTCCTGAACCTTTGAAATGTCAGATTTCAAGAACTACTTTTCAAAGTAACTAAAAATTATGGAGAGAGAAACCAAACGATCAGTAACATACAGCAGTAGATCGTCTACATATTGAAACACCTCTATTCAACCCAATGCAAATGAAATCAACAAATAAAACAAATGTTAAAAAAATTAAATATTAAATATACAGCCACTGGGTGATTTATAGTAACAGTACAAACATCATTAGTTATGGTCATCACAGTGGAATAGATACACACACACACATATATACATATATATATATATATATATATATATATATATATATAAAATATAGCTGTAGTACAGCAGGTGACTAGGTCAAAGGTCGTGAAAGGTCATTAACGTCACAATTCTCCCTCACTCTTTTCCTCAGGCCCTGGTACCGATGACTCACAGTCATCAGATGACTCATGTTCCCTGCACTTTCCAGTGTGTGTGTGTGTGTGTGTGTGTGTGGGTATGTTTATGAGGTGTGTGTGTGTACGTCACTGACGTTTCTTCAGTCTGTGTGTGTGTGATGTGTGTGTGTGTGTGAGCTTTTCTCCTCCACACAGCTGGTTTGGAGTCACAGGGTGTGTCGAAGGACCACACGTCATCACAACCTCTCTGTGTTTGGACAGACGCCTCAGACAGATGATGATGACTTTTGTTTTCCTGCTCGTATATAAATGAGCGATAACCCCCGATCTGCCGCACCTAAAACAGTCGTACACGTCAGTGCGGCCGTACGGTGACAGGAAATCCCAATCGTCCACTCCGGTCCACCTCCGTGGACTAGAGCGGAAGAATAATCAGACTTTAATTAAAAATAAATGATTCATAATTATGTTTTAATTAGCTTGTCGTCACCAGTAGCGCTCGTATTAGCCGTCCTGACCTAGCCATAAAAAAAGAACAGTTTCAAAGGTGTGGATGGATTTAGTGTAGTAGAAAAAAAAAAAATCACTGTTTCAGTCCCTTCAACACCACCATATACTACAATAAGTACTTCAATACGCAGTAATTTCTGACCAGTGGCAAATAGTTTTGTTAGGGCTAGCAATCCCATAAAATGTTTTAATCCGATTCATTGCAGTGTAGCTGTGGATTAATAACAATTAATCACGATTAATCAGGACGGTAACTAATCATGATTAATCAAGCCTGTTTGTATTTGTGACTAATCCAAATGATGGAATTATTCATATGGAAACATGTCAATAAAAATATGCAAAAATAAAACTCTCATTCTCATAGCGTTGTTGGTTAATAATCATTAAGAGAAATACTTTCCCACAGGGTGTTTAAATTTCAACATCTTTATCGACTGTGTATTAGAGCAAAAAATGAGTGAATAATAAAAATAATAGCTTTATCGACTGTGTATTAGAGCAAAAATGAATGAATAATAATAACCCCCACCCCCACCCCCCCTCCTAACCCTCCCTTCACCCCGATCACCTCACCTGACCTCACAGGCCGAACCCTGTGATCTTTCCACTTGACGTGGCTTAAAAACATCAGAGTGGATTCAACAGAGCTCTGATACTATTGACCGAGGCGTTTGATGCAGCTCACAGCACACTATCTGTCGCACAGCCTGCTGGCCAGCATATTGATCGGGGAAGAAAGAGAAAGAGAAGTGAATGACACAGGGCAGAGAGAGAGAGATGAACTGATGGAGCAGACAGTCCGGTGAGCATCACGACAAAGGTGAGGGCAGCGAGGGAGACGGAGACAGAGGGGAGACAGAGGGGAGGGCGAGGAACGATGTAACCTGACATAAAGCATTCAGAGAAGGTCATTGTCTCGATAGACGCCGATCTTCTGACTGGAAAGATTAGTGAGGAAACATTTCTGCTTTGACTTTGCCCCGAAAGAACACGGCGGACGGGGGAGGTGACCTGAAAATACATATACACCGGTGGATGAGATTTTACTGACAGAGTGGGTGAAGCAGAGGGCAGGTGAAGAAATATGGAGAGTGAAGGAGGAGAGCTGCACCGAGTCACCCTGCATGAACAATCAACGTGTATGATCGCTGACCTGAGTCAACCGTCTCACTCTTTCTACTCTGTGCCTTTTATTTTTCTGTTTTTCTTCTCTTTCTCCCCTTTGTCCTTTCCTTCTTCAGACTCCCAGGAGTCGCATGAAGGTCTTTGTGGCCGAAGAGAAAACAGCTGATAATCAGTGCAATTATTCTTCTCTCACTGTGTGCATGCGTGTGTGTGTTTGTGTGTGCTCGCAGCTCACCCGCAAAATCTCTTCCACGCAGCTGGAGTCATTTGGCAGACTGACCTGCAGAAAACAGAGCAAAAAGACAAAGAGACTTTAACACTATTTATAGCAGCGTGACTTTAACACATGTAAAGGCGACAGAAAAAGGTGAAGCACAGTCACCCACAATGCATCACTGCATTACTGACTCTGTATGTTAAATGAGTGTTTTTTATCATTTCAAATACAGTGTCTGTGTCTGTTTTTGATGATTTTTTAAAAGTTTTTCAACCCTAAAAAAAAAGATCTTTAGATTATGGATTTAAGATTTGAACTAAATTCAAATGGAAATTAATGCTCGTCAACAGCATTAAAGGACCCAGATGTCAGTCCTATGATGAGACAAAGAAGCAGATTGTCACATGGTCCCAAAGACTTCAGAAGTATTGATTTTCAAAAGAAAACATCATTCAGAGAAATGTTGAAAAGAATTCGAAATACATCTGGTTTTTAATTTTCTGTGTGGCCGAATACCAAATGATCCATGGCTCGCTACTGGTCCCTGACCCGGTGGTTGGGTACCCCTGACTGAGAGGACACTGAAATGCCACAAATCAATGATGGGATTTGGCTCAGTGCAGGAAGGAGACATTGAGTGTATATATATATATATATATATACATATATATATAATGATTATATATAATGATTTATTGACGTAACTTTGAACTCTGTGATTCTGGAAAGTACTTCAAAGACAATTTACGGACATTTTTGGAGATCTAACAGATTTCCAGCTGCGCGTGTGTCTATCTGAACGTCTAAACGTCGTGTAATCAACCACCGGTTCTGATTAGATACATGGAAACCCATGAAACGCACATCTGGCCGTTAAATCGGCGAGTAAACACACAAATCGACGCCGCAACAAAGAAAAACCTCACGTGTCGTTCCACGGTTGGATGGAAACACCGAGTGCAGCTGTGTTTTTGTGATGTGTCTTAAAACCTTTTGACTTCAGGTTTATCAGGTTTTAGAAGTTCATCAGGGTGAAAACCTTAAGTGAGTGATTCAATTTTGCAATTATATGTGACTCAATGCAGAGTGTGTGTGCAGGAGTGACCAGAGTGTGTGTGTGTGTGATTGATACCTGGCCCTGTGTCCACTGATGTCTGTGATCAATCTTTCAAACTCTGGTCTTAAAGAACACAGCGTTGCTGTAATGACACATTTTTATGCTGAAGGAAGAAAAATGGGTCGACGACCAACAGGTGTTTTTTTTTCTCCATCTTCTATGTAAAATACACACTACGACACGTCGACGCCTCAGATATTACACAAGGGTTGATTCATTTTAATGGCATCAATGTTTAAGGATGTGATTCATCAGAGAAATTCGTCATCATCATCGTCGTCGTCCAGCAGTTTTCTCTATAAAATAAGCAGTTTTTTTGTCATCGTTCAGATCATTATTCACTCCGACTTTAACACCAGTCGCTTCGTCTGTCTGGTGTTCAACCGCGAGGCCGTTTCAGTTTGATTATTAGAAGTTTAATTTACATGGAAAAATATCCTTTCTGAGCGCAGACGTTTGCAGCCGCAGCGATTGAAATAATTAGTTCAGCCGCGGCCGACTGATAATACGCAGCAGCCTGTGCCCTTGACAATTAATTTCCTCTTTGAACAGGACTAATCTGGGCGAGTGACTGAAGTTACATTATAGACAGGGGTCGGGGCTATCACCGAGGACGCTGTGTGACCAGCATAATTTAAACCGGCATCAAGAAGGAGAAGAAGAAGAAGAAGAAGAAAATGCTCAGGTCAAAATGACTGCGACAGAATCAGAACATACTGAACATGAGTAAAAGTAGTGACGTCTTCCTGCCGCGGACTTTTTACCGTGTGGGTTCAGCCAAAGTGCAATGCTAATTTTTTGTTCCACTCATTTGGAACAAATCACGATTGCCCGTGGTAGAAGGACAGACACAGTGTGTGTGTGTGTGTGTGTGTGTTACCTCGAACCTGTCGAACAGCAGGAAAAATAATGATCCAATAACAAATCATAGTTTCCACAAAACAATTAAAGCAAAGTGAGGCAATTGGCCCCACGTTATCATAGCATGGATCACTGCAGTTAAAGAGAGAGAGAGAGAGAGAGAGAGAGAGAGAGAGAGAGAGTTCAGCCCAGAACTCATGTCTAACCCATTACAGCACTGTAACCTTTGTCACACGCCATTACTAATGGCAGCAACATGAGCACAGGAACCACTGAGTCACTGATGACATCATCACACTGCACTTTAGTAAGTGACTGGTAAAAACAACAGTACGATAAAAGTCATCTGGAGGGGGGAGGGGCACGAGAAGGGGGGGGAGGTGATATACACAGTTCACAGACAGAAGGACACATTTGAACATCTCAGTCAGGAGCTGTGATTCCACATCAGGCCACAACGGGGCGCTGCTGTCAGCAGAGACACAGGCACACGTAGAAATATAAAACTTGTTTTTTTAGTGTATCGTGTCTTGATACGATACGAAGCGATACTAGTGTGAGTATCTTGGTTTGTGTACTGCCCAATACCAAGTACTGCCACTGATACGTCTTCAGACGACTTGACTTCCTGCAGCCAGATGAACAGAAAGTGAGCAGAGCTTTGACACCAGTGCTGTGTTTAAACTGACGTCGTCTGATCAGTGAAGGGTAATTTTTTTTTTTTTTGCAAAACTGAACATATAAAATGTTTTAGATTAATGTGTCCTAGGGCCGACATACGACACCATGTGGTGACATAAAGAAGTCAACGGTTGACACACTTACTTGTGTACAAGGGCCGTTTAAAATGAGTCAAGACGGAGGTTTACACTTACAAGGGCCGTTTAAAATGAGTCAAGACACTTTCAGATTTACAAACAATTTAAATACAGATGTTTTCCACCCAAGTTTCTGCTGGTGACCACTGATTTAATTCAATTTTGTATATTTTAACAATAAATAAATACATTTCTCGCAGTTTCTGTTCCTCATAATATACAAACAAATTTGATAAATAAAAAAAAAATGTGACGTCCATTTTTTTTTTCAAACACAGCCGTCAGACAGAAATCAAAGCAGTCGTATTATTTTATTCTTCGCCGTCGTCTCCACCTGCCCTGTCCATCACTGGAGTCGTCAGTTATTGGATCAGAACACAGAGACAACAGCACAGGTTGTTGTTGTTTGCTCTCCGCACACGCACACACACACACACACACACTGTGGACTGGGTGCTAATTGCTCAGAGTGTGTGGCTGCTGCTGATTTCAAGCACAGAGAGACTGAGGAGATATAAAGAAATGAAAGATGAGCGACGGAGGAAGTGTGCAGAAGGGTAGAAAGGATAACGTTAGGAGTGAGGAGAGGGGAGAAAAATGAGAGAGAGAGGGAGAGAGACAGAGAGGGAGACAGATTCTGCAGGAGGCAATTACTGAGGCAGAAATCCTCTCTACCTCAAATAGCAGCTCAGACAGATGGACAGACGTCTGCGCGCGCACACACACACACACACACACGCACACACACACATCAACCCTCTGCGGATAAACACACGTACCAACATAAAAGTGCTTTCACTCGCTCGTAGACAGGCACACAGGAACGTTCCGGACCACACAGACTCATATACCGACGCAGACCGGTTTAACACACACACACTGTTATTATCGCTGCCAGAATTAGTCTCCTGACGATTCCCTTGATTAGCCAAGTGGTTGTTTGGCTTATAAAAACGGTAAAATTGTGAAAAAAAAACCCAAAAAACAAAACAAAAACTCATCACATTTTGCGAGCGCCAACAGAGACGCCAGCGCGCTCCAAAAACAGTGATTTACAAACGGATCGCAGAAAGAAACGCAGTCACTGGAGCAACGCACCGCCTGTTGGTCTGAGGAAGAGAGAGTTTTGCTAATTTTTCTGCAATGGAATTTAAAGATTTTAGCTCAGATGTGTACATGTAAACAAGAACTTTGAAAATTCAGAACAGACCCGGGAAAGCTACGGCCCGTGGGCCAGATGTGGCCCTCTCGGCTTTATAATGTGGGCCCACCAAACTCTGGTACAGGGTATGACTGTTGTCAATCATTCTGATTTACACATTAAAAAACTTATTGACATTAATCTCTGTTGATGCCACTAGGTGGCGGCAGATATCAAATGCGCCGATTTATTTTTGAAAGTTATGGGGGTTTTTTTCTTCTACATTTTATTTAAATAATTTCACCCAGTATTCTACACCCAACCAACACTAAACTGGACCACTGACCAAATTTTGAACTACATTTTGGCGCAAAAACTAACCTCTGGGTCAGAAGGAGATCAGAGACGTGAGACCATCGAACATCAAAACTTCTGCGCTTTACATCACTGGAATTTCTTGCTGATCGCTGATCGTCAGTTAGCAAAACGTGGAGTGCTAACAAAATGATTGACTGTGGAATAGAAAGTCAAAGTAAAGTTTTTGTTTTTTTTTAGAAAAACCAGTCATTTGACTTTACGATGGGCAGAGAGGAGAGAGACAGCAGGGGAATGAAAAAGTATAATGAACAAAGACAAAGACAAAGTCAAACACATTCAAATCTGCAGCCTGGTGAAAGTCAACACTGTCGTCTGAGTGAAACTCACTCACATATTTGCCGTGTTTCTTCCCGTTGTTCCACTCAGTTTGATGAGATCCAGGTTTATTTTTCGGATAAATTACAGCCAGTGTCCAAACTTCCGGCTCTAACGCGGTCAAATAAAACCTGTCAATCATCCGCTCGGTGCGCGTGTGAAGTTTGGAGCTGAAGACCGTGCACGATGTGGTCCAACAGGGTTTGGAAAAATCCTCAAGGATTCTTTTTTTGACCACAGGCTCCTTGTTTATTCGGTTTCATCTGCTCCTTTTATCATCCATATTTTAGCTGTTTACAGAGCTGAAGTGGCTGCCATCACTGGGATTACCAGCACGATAGATAGATCACAGGCATCGCCCTCAAAGGAAACTTCACTCTCTGACTCCCTCTGTGTGTGTGTGTGTGTGTGTGTTAGCTCCCCTTATGGACCT